CTGCATCTCCCAAAGCATTACGCGTGCGAGATACGCGAACGACGGTGGCTATCGAATTGCGTCGCGGCTTTTCGAGCGGTCCGCTCGTGCTGCACGTTGTTGAATAGGCTGCCCTCGCAGCCTCGCGCTCGCGCGAGACCGCGGATGTTATCTCTCGGCTAGCACCTCTTTGCTGAAAGGAGTTCTCTCCGCTGTGGCTACAACGGCTTCTCTTTTTTTCCTCATGTTTTTCACAACGCGAGAGCTTTATCTGATAGTACCTCTTCTTCTTCGTCGTAAAACGACAGGTTTCGTCACTGTAGAATTTGACGCGTCGGCCGCGCCGTTTTGTTACTGATAATTGCTGGTATATTTCGTTACTTCGTACGGGCAGTATTTCCGACGTAAGTGCAATATCGCGGTTAAAAAGAGAGGACTAAAAAGAGAGGTTAAAAAGAAAGAAGCGGATAAGATAGCACGACATCGAAACAACATTAGGAGTCAATAGGCTCCTCGACTTTCTCCCCTCGACGATCGGACTCTCGACTGCGACTGTGTTCGTGTGCAACCTGACTCGGAGGACAGGCCATCTCGAACGCCCACATGTCATACCTATTCGCACGATTGGCTCACCTGAAGCCTACATCGGATCCCCGAATCGCGGTCGCGCGAGAATCCCCGACCGACGATGCCGACGCGCGTGTCCCATGGGACCGGTTCGCCCCTGCATTCCCTCGTGTGTTCATGTGCACGCGTCACGTATCGGTGACTGTAGTTTCTCGCGAATGCAAAAAATAAGAGAGAGAGAGAGAGAGAGAGAGAGAGAGGAGTGGGCGAGCTTAAGACCTCGTCAGGTTCGACCCACGTTCTCAATCGTAATAACGCGGAGAGACCCTGTCCGTCGCACGTCCTCGACGTGAATGCATGCTCTTGTTCATCGAGTAAAAACAACAATTATGACGTCACGTCGCGAGTGAAATGGGAAGAAATCGCTGGGAAGACAATCTCGATTAAATTTGGCAACCGTTCGGAGACCAGAATGTAGAATGACCGGCGAAATTACGATCAGCTGTTCGTTCGGATGGGACGATCGAATCAGTGGCGAAAATTAGGGCTTCCTCCTTATTCGAGTCACTTTGTAACGTTCGTACAATTTTCGCTCCTTTAAAAGAAACGGTCCGCACGTCAGTCACGATGTCGTCCCCCCATCGGCATCCTCGCAATTACTGCCGCGCTTTTTGCCGCTCCACGGTGTACTAGAGAGACGGCTTCTTCCTCTCTCCTCCCTCCCCCCCCGCTCCGTGCTCGCACGTCTCGTTCATATCCGTTATTATTATATTTGCCGTCTGTAATTATTGCCTCAGTTCCTTGCGCTCATTACCTCGCGCAAGCTCATTGAATTTAACGTTTCATTATCTCGGCTTTCGGCGGTCTTGTAAAGGTGAACCTGTCCCGATTATTTCGTTATTAATTACGATGACGCGCGCGTTACGATGATTACGCTATAACGGCAGGAAGTCGATGAGACTCTTCATTTGATTCCTCACGCGAGTCGGCCGATCCGGTATTGGCGCTAATAACTCCTACTGGTTTATCGTTCGTCTGTCGTTATGGATATTGCGGTATGCGACGTCGATGGTGCTCGACGCGATGTTGTCGAGTGTACACCACCGCTTATGAATAGCTTACATAAGCAGTGCGATCGGCTCGTGTCTTTCCTCGTGTGCGCTTACGTGCGTGTGGCGCTTACCTACGCGCTGCACCGGTCGTGCAGTCGAGCAGCCGATGTGTGCCAAGGTTATTCTATGGATAATCTCACGTATTCTCACGTATTTCGCGGTGGAAATCTGCGGGACGTCTTTTCGAGATCTCCGTCAACGGTGAATGAATGACCGAGCAGTTGCGCACTGTGCGATAAACTCGAGTAACATTGTCAATTTGCGGTTTGGCTCGAACGTCACTTTTTCAAAAATTCGGATTAATATAACATAACGTAACGTTTATTAAATGCTCGGCAGGGTAGTCGACGCTGATATTGACGAGTCTCATCGTCAAGTCACGTTATAATTACAATTGCGTCTGAAAATTTAGGCATTTGATCGACAGAATGAAACGAGATCGGAAGTACCATCAAGTACCGTCAGTAGATCTAGCTGGCGATCAAGAGGTGTTAATTATCGGAGCTCATTAAAAGTCGTAATTGGAATCCCAATATCATTAATCGCGATATAGAACGGTGTAAATGTCGATTATGAAATCCCCGCAGCGCGCGTTGATTAGAATAATTGGCCGCGAAACAATAGCCGATAAAATTATCGACTATCGTACATTGACGGTCGCGCACATTCGAGCGCGTTAATAGGCCCAGAATGTCAGCGGTGTTACGAAACCGGGTCAGTGGACCGGAGTTGGAAATCCTATATTCGGATTTTCTATTAGGCCGTCACTCGCACGGTCGGATTATCGTATCGCGACCGATGATTTAGGAGTACATAATTGCATTCCGTGACATCCGATAGCGCAACGCGTGTTTTTACTAAGTTCAGTCATATTTATCAGTGACATTGGATTGCCGACGCGTCAACTATTAACGCAATATTGCGATATCTCGCCACCGAAAGCTACGCGACTATATGACCTCGCGCTATCGACACGTAAGTATGTCGATGGGACAATTTCCGTCGGGCAGATGGAGAAAGCTTTTGTCCCTTTCTTGCCAAGCTAATACTCCGGAATCTTTCGATGCAATGTCGGCCGATGGAAGTGCTGACGTCGCTCGTCAATCACGAAGGTGATATTACTTCGCGATACTACAGGCGAGCTTTTTCGCTAATAACATCCGGGACATCTGCTTCTACGGAGAGATACAAATTGACCAAAAAGTCTTTGGAAAAATTCTCGATAAAAGGTTCTTGTTCTCTCTATCGATCGTTTAGCGATATTTTCTTCGAAGATTCCAAACATGAGATAACAAACATGACGTAAAATGGAAGCAAACGAGATGTAAGATATGTTCCACTCGCACGGATAAGAGAAAACTACAATAAGTCGCGGTAATTATATTCACCAAGTTTCGCTTGCTAGCTGCACTCCGTACTCGCGTACTCGCTTTTTTCTTAACACCTGATTTTTCAGATTGTGTCTATACACGTAATTTGGGTTCACGTCGGATATTAATAACATTTATTTATTTTAAATTTTATCCTGGGGGGAACATCCTCACGGGAATAACCTTTGGTGTTTTTCTTTGTTTCCTCCTTGTTCGATTGAACAGCAACGAACAAAGGGATGATCCTTCTGAGGAGCCGTCAAATGCAAATAAATTTTTCAAACATCGCTCTCGCACATTAAACGCGTGAAATTCCAGCGAAACGCCTCCTCCAAAGCTTTCCGACGGAGAAATATATCCTCGGACGAGGGGAGAAATTAGGTCGTGGAATATTAAGCGTGAAAAACATCTTTCGAGCACGAGCGGATATTCTCCAACGTAAACGAAATTAATTACCTCACCGATAGGTCAGGGCAATGCCGATACTCTTGGACTTTGTAGTCGACACGCCCTTGGTATATAATTACACGATCGATTGTCTTACCATCCCATTTTCATATCGCTCGAGCGTGCTGGTAATGTCCGCGGTCATACTGCGTTTTTTATTTTCGTTTCTCCATCGCGAGAATCGATTCTTTCTTTCTCCCCCCCCCCTCCCTCTTTTTTGCTCGAGATAAATTATCCGGCAATAATGAATTACGCTTCGAATACCCACTCCCAATTATTCTAATATCGAAGCACCGAATCCGTGGGAGAGGCGCATTCGCGAAAAAAAAAAGCAGCCAGATCCTTCCGTTTAATAACGGTAATGGCCAATCTGGCACGCGAGGCGGCGATCGTTACGGTAATTGAGGGTGTCGAGAGCCTTCGTTATTTCGCCGCGTTTATCTTTTCTCTTTTTCTCTCCTTCTTTCTTTCCAACGCGCAGCGCGCACCGTCATCGGTATTAATTATGCATAATAAAAGTTGCGTTATAGTCACATGGTAACACGATCGCGCTCTTCGCGGACGATCGCGAGGCCGATACGCTTTCCACCGGAAACGAGTCGCGGGTTAATACCTCTGCCGCTTTATAACTCTCGCTCGCGATTAATCCTTCGCTAATATCTCTCTCGGTGATACGTTATCGCCGCTCGCGCCCGCTCGGGCGTACATTATGAACGCGATCCAAAGTCAGAAAGAGACGCGCTCAGTCGGCGATCGATCGACCGAGATACCGTCAGCCACACCTGCGATTTTGACTGCGAGGATTGCCCGCCGATTGCACGATCCGTCCAGTCGCAGATCACGGTCGCAGAAACTTACGCCAGTAGATCGAAATAGCTCGCGACCGTTGACCTCAATCTCGGAAGTACGGACACACGATGCGCTCTCTTTCAGCGAGCGATAATCTTGGGGTCGCTCTAGACCAGAGATCGATCAGAGACAATCCGCAACCGCGATCGGTCGGCGCGATAAATCGAACGTGTACCTATTGGGTGTCTATTATTAACAGCACACAATGCTTCCATTAGTGTACACTGAGCTCCGATAGTAGAGTCTTAACATTGTAACTGGGCTTACTCGTAGACTTGACGGCAGGATAACCTTAATAGGCACAATGCAACTAGGTTATTAGGATTTTCCAACCATACTTATGGATTTCTTTCACTTACGGATTTATTACTAATTTCTCACTCACTGATTATTCTCTCTCAAAGCAGCGGGAGCGACGGATCGGATTAGTAAGCAATCGCAACGGTGATATAGCTTTATGTTAATATCTAACATGTATTATTAATAATATTAATTTGTGATTATGTAATATGATTAAAAATGTATATGCACATTTATGAAATGCTAACCTAACGCGGTTAGGTTTTTCGCATCAACTCTGCCGGTTGATGCGAAATTCCGGATAAATGTTAAATCGTTTACACAATGCGGCGCACGAAAATTTCACCGGCGTCGTCTCGCTACTTTTTTTTTCCAGGGCGATCGTGGGCGCACCGGAGGCCGAGACTGCGCAGGCCGATGTCTACCGCGGAGGTGCAGTTTACAAGTGCGATATCGCGGCCGATGACAGATGCAACATTATTCACTTCGACGACAAAGGTAAGCGGATCATTATCTCAATCTCGATTGGACAGCGATGCTCCGGGCTGCCAATTGGCCCGGGCATAATAAATACTTTCTCCTTCGGCGTCGGCCGTCGGCGTCAGGCTGTTCATCTGAGAAGCGAGAGAGCTCGATATCGCATCGTGCATTAGCCTTCGCGGCGGCGAAATGTGCTAAATGTATGAGCGGGAGCGGGCAGCGGGAGCGGCTCGCGAACATGACACGCTTTTATCAGCGACTGACGGGCCGGGTCGGGCCGGGCCGTTCCTTTGATTGAAAATAGTACCGAACGAACGAGCGAACGGCACAATCACGCGTCGACAAACATCCCGCGCGTCGGGGGCCGGAAGCGAATCTGGCGTCGCGAGTTCTCATTCCGACTGCCACTGATCTCGAACCGATTTAGATCCTTGCGTCAGCTTCGCCGTCGGCGCTGGAACGACCGCGGAGGTAACGCGCCGGCCCCGCGGGATTCCGCATGCTCGATCGCATGTGACATAATTGGCGATTCGTTGGCCGGCTAATTGACTCCACGATCCACGATCGGCCCACCGCGGCCCTGCGCGCTCCCTCGTGTCTCGCCTCCCTCAAAGTTCGCTGACATTCTTCGGAAGAAAAATCGACCGACGAGTGCCCGTTCTTTCTCTCCCTCCCTCCCTCCCTCCCTCGCTCGCTCATTTGTTCACTCACTCACTCACTCACTCACTCGCACTCACTTCTTCGTCAGTCCGGAACGATTGGCCGTGATTCACGAATCACCAGAATCGACGCGGCGCAGGACCGGTTTCGGCGTTCGCTGCGGGACGCAAGACGACTCGCGGAGACAATACAATCGAGGAGTACGCACGGCACGGTAGTACTCCTAATGCTAATTACGAAGAACGCGCCGTCAATAGCGCGCTGTTGACCGGCACGGTCGATTAGATTAATTGGCTCGTTGAATTATCTCGTCGAGTCGACGTTGAAGCACCTCTGAGACTCACATAAATGGAGTCGCTGAAATAGACGTCGCCGTTGGAGGATTTTCCTTCTATCTGCCGCGCCACCCCGAAGAGAATCAACAAGACGGTCAAACTCGGGCTACTTTTCCTCGGGCAACGACTCGCTACGTTCGGGTTACTATTGGCAATGGCTTTTTACCTGCGCCCTGCGCTTATCGCGGGCGTTGAAAGATGCTAATAAGATATTTCCGGCGTGTTCGTGCTCTCCAACCCGTCCTGCCGAGCGTTTGACCCACATTCTACCCACCTTCCCTCCGCCGTCGCAGCGCCGGCGTAGCTTCATAATAATCTCGAGAAGCGCGAAGTAACCGGCGAACTGTTATAGAACGCGCTATTTTTAGTCAGTGCCAATACACCTACCCTGTCGTTGACCCTACCATATTTCGACGCTTTAGCGCAATTGCCGCGCGCGTGACGTCATTGTACGTAATTTTCCGCGCTCAATTCCCGCGGGACGCACGTCGAAATGCGTCGATACCCTTTCGCGACGGGCTCTTGGAAATTTCCTCGATATATTTCGAACATTTCTCATGTTGACCGTGAGAATTATCAAGGTAATCGCAAAGCGTTATTATATAAAGCGTGTTCGTTTACCGCAGGAGATCTAAAAAATCTCCTAAAAGGGTCTTTCAGGGCCGAAGCAATCGGCATTTAGTTCGGTGAGAATCGTGCGAGTGATTCGATTATAATTGGGCTGTACCTTAACGCGGGGCTATTTAAATCCCCGTCGGGAAAGTATCCTTAACGAATCCGATTAGCGCCGTGAATTCACGCTCTCCGTCTGAGAAAGAGGGAGAGGGAACCGCCAGCGCTGTGCCAGCGTTTGGTTTATAAATCCGCGGGGAAACGTTGCGTACAGTCTCGCGGAAAATAACACGCGCGAACCAATTAAAGTGGCCGCGTTTGAAGCACATAGCCGCCTCATAAAGTTTCCGGTAAGCAGCGGTTAAAAATATTATCCACATCGCGGCCAAGCGTGCGCGCGTAAGCGCAAGCGCTAATGCAAATTAGCGGAATAAACTCACGGTGCGAATTAGATGCAGTTACATACCTCGTAATCTCGACAATCGGCGGCGATTCACCGTTCCGACTCGCGCTCACATAATGTAACACATTATATCGTGCTTTGCCGGCGCTCCGTTAACGCAAGTGAGACGGGAAATGAGAGAGAGAGAGAGAGAGAGAGAGAGAGAGAGAAAGAATGAAAGATAAAAAAGATCGAGAGACCGTGCGAGCGCGATTGACGGAAAATCACGGTCGAGCCGCGATCGCTGATTTAATGTTATATTATCTAGCAAATGGAGCGCGAACGTGATCAGAGTCGGCAGCGCGAGATCGATACAAGGAGAAGCGATCGAGGATGCGCGTTTCTTCCTTTTCGGTGCATATGCGGTTTGCACGAGAGAGAGAGAGAGAGAGAGAGAGAGAGAGAGAGAGAGAGAGAGAAAGGATTGAGTACGGATAGATAAGCAGCGGCTAGAAAGCGCAATTGCGAGAGAATACGGCTCGTTATATCTCACGATGGGGAACGATGCGATATTGGTAATGCATACGCGCGCGCCATTATATGATATAAAATGCAGTTTCCTTTTGTACCTCGTATCGTCGTCAATTTACGTATATACGCACGATCTTATCCGCTGCTTGTAAGAAACGATATCAACGCCTCTGCTTCTCTCTCTCTCTCTCTCTCTCTCTCTCTCTCTCTCTCTCTCTGTCTGTCTCTCTCTCCTCGCTCTTTGCCCCCTCATTCGTGCTTTCGCCTCTTCCTTAAGTCCCGCGTCGGTCGCATTCTTTCGCACGGATGAAACGTTTTCGCCCGACTGCGCACACGAGAAGTTCTCGAGTTGTACATCCAATTAGTCGGTTCCCGACTCTCTGCCGTAGCCGGCGCGACATGGCCGCGCGAGCGAACACTTGGCTTTGATCGATAATTAGGCCGATCGTGTGCTCTATCATGCCTGGATCTTGTTCAATTAGGATCGTATCCCGGTAGTCGACGGTTGCACACTCTGTTACATTCGCGATTTCTTCGAGCACGCGCGGCGATGAAATCATCCCGGTCGCTCGCACGCGTGCAAAGCACGAGCAAAGCCGTCTCGTCACGCGGGACTGGACGTCCCTCTCGCGATCTTGTCCTGTCCGGTATCGTTTCGGGACGACGATACCGTCGTGAAGGTTGTTCTATATGTGCACCAGGCGCTCGAATATGTACAAATAGTGACATTTAATATCAGAACCGAGAAGGAATAGAGATTACGTAAAATCACACGCCGAGAAGGCCGCTTTGCGAGTTCGTATTTCTTTTCGCGCGCACACTATCACGGTTTAAAATAGTGGTGGGTTAGCCAGCGTCCGGATTTACGGTGTCGCTGAAGAAACCTCGCGAACGAACTCGCCTTCGAAAATAGCCAGCGCGCCGGCTGCTTTCGCGATGGAGACTCGACGAGAACAATATTATTATTACTTCGACGAACGACTCGCAACAATCGCTGATTTGCAAGGGACGCCTAACTTTAGCCACGGTTCGGCCGACGGAGCTGCCCGGCTTTCTCTCGCGTCTCACGTTACTTGTACGTTTTCCGAGTGAATAGAATTCTAAGTTCAACGGGAAAAGAGCTTAGCGAATAAAAGGCGAATAAGAGGCCTCACCGTTGCTATTAGCGAGTGGATTTTGTCAAGCAAGTTATTTGCATTAAATAAATATTTCACCAAGTGAAGTTAAGTGAACTGATGAGAAACAGTCTCGTCTCGTTGGAGATTTGACGCGATATTCTTTTTTATCAAGTTTCTGCGGGAAGATGAGATTGCTTGGGTGAAATATCCAGCGGCGATCGGCCCATCGTATGTTCTCATTTGGCCGAACGTCTCGGTCATAAGTACGACCCCGTCTTCCCACCATGATCCATTTACCGCGATACAACCATGCAATATTTCGAATCGTTATTCGCTTCACGTAACTATAAAGAAATCCGTCAAATTCGATCGTGATGACGACGTCAGGAGAGACCTCGATCAAAGTGGACGAGAGAGGATCGTGCGTGGACTTCCTCGCCGTCGCCGAGCCCTGAGACCTGAGACGGGCCACCACGACGACGTCTCTCGCCTTCGATCCTTATTCGCGGCCTATCTCACTGCTTCACCTGCGGCACGTCCTAAGTGCCAAACGCGATTTTCTCGATCGCGGATCGTCGATGCCACCTGCGTACGAGGAAGCGACTCGGAGATCTCGCGCAGGTCCTCGAGGTCACTCACTCTTCGGCCACTCGAGGCTCCGGAGGAGACGTCTCGAGGAACGTCTCCTCCCGCCGCGTGCACCTTGCCGAGTGCCACTGAGAGTAGCACGGCGTACTGTTCGAAGGTACCGAGAACCGTCCGGGCTGCGCAAGAAGCCGACGATGCCTAATACAGAAAACCGTAAGGCCGTTCTGCCCTAGCTCTGCCTCCTCTCAGGAGTTCGGTGTTTTTTTCGGCCGCTACCAGAAGCCAATTTCTGAAGTTCCGAAGTATTTCTCCCTTTCCACCTGCCCCACCCTGCGCTCGAAATCGTCTAATCATCGCCGCTGTAATAGTCTCGCTAATGAGATGCGCCACGAATGAGCATGTCGACGTGATGCGAAGTAAATGATCGAGCGATATATATCTCGGTGTGTAATTTAATGAAATCTCAGGTCGATTTCTTTCTTTTTCTTTAATTTATAATTAAATTCTAATTAACGTGCACACGGACGTAGTTTCATTGAGAATGTAGGCTATTATGCCATAGACGATGATAGTGATTGTCGGATAATTTCGGGATGAAGATGAATTATCTTAAGTCCAAGACGGGATCACTGGCCGCACACTTCCCAGTCATGACGATCCACTAAGGGTTGAGAGGCGAAGGACAGTTTCCCTTTAAGGACCAAAGCCGACCGATACGGGCTAACGGGTTCGTCCCGTTCGTCAAATCGACCAAGAAAAGCGCAGAGCGCACTTAAAGCTTTTTTATACCGTGACATCTGTCGGCGACTCTTCGCGCGAGATCACCGAACGATAATTGCAAGGTCGAGCCTATTAGGCTGCTGCATAAAAAATCGGATTGTCCTTTCGAGAGTTTTTTTACTGTTTTGTGATACTTGATCGCGACGACGAACACTTCACGATTTATATATTTTTCCCGATATATAGACTCGTGATATTTCGTATATGTATACACGCAATAATAAATTATGTATATATGCGTGTGCAAATTAAGAAATATATTATCGAAATACATGTGATGTTGATTGAGGTAAAAACCTTTCTGCTGCAGGACAAAACTACGTGAAGAATCCGCATGTTGCGGGCGGCTTGAGTCCTATCGATAATAAGACGTTGCAGTGGTTCGGCGCCACGGTTTCAGCCTCTAGGAAAGCTGGAGGCCCGATTATGGTGAGTACAAGTATCTCGATATTGAGACAACTCATGCTTCAAACGAGTTGTATTATTAATTTGGAACACAGAAATACGTACGTACTATCGAACGCGCTTATGTTAGTAATTCTTGAAAATACCGACCATGCGAGATGCTACGGGAGGCGTTTAATAAAATAAGCAGCACGTGCAAATAAAAACAAACGGTCGCGGCCTGGCTCAGTTATTAGCCCGGCTTTATCGAGATAACTCTTTGTGGGGCGATTAGGAACGAGGACGGCGGGAAAAATAGAAAACTGAACGACTTAACGAAAAGATCGTTCGTTGTTGCGTTTCCTACGAATTCCTAATATGTTCGCTCATGTGTGTGATTTATAACCGGAGTCTCGGATAGATCTTCCGAGAGATTTCAGATGTATGTTCCTAGAAGGCTGCGGCTTCTATTTCCAGATTCGAAAACAAACAAATTCTCGGCGCGTGCCTCCTTTCGTTTTGTGACTCGCGGACATCTCGCGAGCGAGTCAAATTAGCACAGAATTTGAAAGTCAGGCTATCTACCTTTGATGGAGTTACACGGCAATTAGGACAGAACCTAATCCAAAAACACTGTGCATCTTGCGTGTAGCAAAATCTTGAAACTCGCGTTTTCTGTGGATAGAAAATGACAAACTTACCGAACTTCTCCGTTTTTCCACTTCTAAATAACGAGAAACCAAGAAATATAAATGAACCATTCTCTTCAAACGGTAGAAGTCCATTTTCTCATTACAATATACATAATATTTCGTTCAAATTTTTCCTCGTCGCATACAACGATGTAACATTTTTACATTGTAAAAAAAATCCCCCAACAACTACATAAATATTCTTTATTTATTTTTTTTTTTCTAAGCTGGAAAACGCTGATCTCTCACCGTTTCCTCCGGATTGCTTCTCGGATACGACGGATTATATGGTTTTCAGTGCCGCCATGTGAAGTTTCTACTCGGCGGTGCATTCTATCCGACCAACACATCTGCGATACGTGTTAAAGTCATTATTCGTCCGCCTGCAGCTTCCACGTAGATTTCCAATTCAGAATGTGTGTGGGGCCCCGTTACGACGATCCGACACGTTCTCAATGCATACGAGCGCGCGCCCGCCCTCGTGTAAACGCGCTTCGCGATGGACATGTTCGCCGCGCCAAGGGTCTTTGCGCCAATCTAGCGCGAAGATCTCCGCCCTTGTCGGGGTTCTGGATTCCTTTTTTCCCTCTCGCCGCGCGGCGGTCCCTATGATGTGTGTACAGACCGTTCTTATCTATCTTTATTTGTGCTTATGCAGGAGACTACCACGCCGTACGCATGTGCGTATGCTCATCACGCGCGGCTGCGGTGGTCGCTTTACGATACGGCGGATGCAAAGATTGAACGAATGAGCAGGGAAAAGGGGGAAACACGGAGAGAAGAGGGTAGTCGTAGAGAGCAACACTCGCAGATTTGCAAGGGGACGGAGATTGTTGAATTCTTTTAATTAATATCGATTGGCAATAATAATGACACAGATGACGTGGAGAAACGACGGGATAAAATCACAGAGTGCTCTTCTCAGAACATAGCTGCTCTTTCCTGAGTTTCATTGAACAAAAACGACAATTTCTGTATTCTATATTTTTTCCTGATAGAAAAACACAGCACTGACAAGCTTCATTTTTGCAATGTACACAATATCAACGATGAAATCAACTTTTCAAAATCACGATCATATATGTATTTTTTCACATGTAGCCGACTTGTCAGCCAGTCGCATCGATGAATTGTCTGAAAAGTTCCAATACAAATTTAAATTCGATATTTTACTATCTACTAATTCTATCCACATATAATCCCATCTGTATATATTCTATCTGTACGTTCCGATTGTAATTTAAAATTCCGGTAGGTGTGTCAACCTGACCCGTTCTCCTCCAACTGCGATACGATCGGTGAGAGAGAGTCAGGGCCTCGCGGAGGGCAACGGATAAGGACAGGGAGAGCCGTAAATAAGACCGCATTCGTATGTGAAAGGCGTATTAGCGACGATTATCGTTCTCATGCTCGCGTAATTTTCACATAGCGAGACGTCGCCACACGCTAACTCCCGTCGACGGCATTCCCGTTCCTTCCTTCGGCACGGACGTATCATGCCAGAATTATCTACTTACTCCAGAATGCGAGACCGTGCGCTCCCCCCGCGACGAACGCGCGCGGCTTTTTCCGCGGGCGAGGCCCCTTCCCGCTTTCTCCATATCGTTTCGCTTTAGTTAGAGTCGATTAGGAAAAAATTGCGGCCGACGACGGCGCGAGTCGTCGCGCGAGTGTCTTCCTTTACGACCGGAGGTGCGCGCGTGATGCGCATCCGCGATATCGCGCGGCAAAGACTTTAACGCGCGTCCGTGGCGCTAAGACAATGTAACGACGCGCGGTGTCATTCCCGTCACGCATGCTCGACGTCTGCTGCTGCGAGTTTGATGCGGACTCTCGAAAAGCGGACGTTAGCGTCTAAATCCATCGCCGATCAAGCCGAGGTTGATTGTCACTTCTTTTAATACACGGCAGAAAAATGTCAGCTCGCGCAACGAGAGATGCTGATCGGACGAGAAACGATACATCTCTATTATCACGACCGAAAACATTTTTCTGCACATTAAAAGTATTCTGTATGTAACCCGATAGAGAGGCAACTAACAACAATCAATTGAATAGAAATCTCCTATATTGCAATCTTTCTGTTTCTGCAATCGATTCTGCTCTCTTCGTCTGGTCTCCAGACGACAGAAAATTAATTAACGGATTTTTTTCCGTTTAGAAACTCGTCAGTACTCCTTGTCTGATCATCTACCACGACATTAGAGGTTCATTTTGTATTTCTAACGGCGAATTTCACGGTCTCCGTCGTCGATCGGCGACCACTGCTATCGCCTATCCCATCAATCGTCCCCGAGACAAAAGATCACACGCAAAGGTCGCGCGCGAAAGGTGAACGAGGGTGCTGGGAGCTATTAGACGACGTTAGAATGACTTGTGTATGCGGCAGTATTATATCGCTTCCGAGGGGCCGCGACACACAAGCCGTGAAATTGATCGAAGCCTAACCCGAACCCTTCCGGATAACCCTCCCCGAAAGTGACTAATGCTACATTGGTACGATTAATTTTCCCGACAGTTAATGCGCATTTCGACACCTTGCTCTAACAGTCTTGTCCTAACAGTCTGATCTACGGCTCGTAAACAAAGCAATGGCCGCGTGTCTTTATGCATGTCTAAGTATGTTCTCGTACGTCGATGCGATTTAACGATCTGCGGTTACGAGGGTGGTACCCAAGAGGTCGCTTCCTGCTTGGCCTGCCGTTCCTCCTCACGTGCTACCAGTGTAAGGGTAATTCGCAGATCGTGCGGAATGCTAGGTCTCTCTGTTTGGTCACCGCAGAAATCGGCGAGCGCACTGTTCGCCGGGATACGCCAGACCGGCCTCACGATGGACCTTTCACCGCTGACGCATTCCTCCCTTTCGCGCGCATCCTCCTGCAAACCGAGTCGCCCGTTCGTCCTTTTTTTTACCGCGCTCCGACTCAACGGCACTTCTTAATCTGCTTTTTTATCGCCCCTCCCGCAGCTCCCCAGCTGGTCACTCTTTCTCTTTCTTTTGCAATCTGCCGACATTGCAGAGATGCGGCTCGCTTGGTTTGATTGCTACCAGCTGTTTCGCGTTTTGGACCTTTCTCCGCCGCGCTTTCTTTCCCTCTTTCTCTTTCCAAATAGAACAAAGGGGCGGCTCTCTCTTTCTCTCTCTCTCTCTCTCTCTCTCTCTCTCTCTCTCTCCTCTCTCTCTCTCTCTCTCTCTCTCTCTCTCTCTCTCTCTCTATCTATCTATCTATCTATCTATCTATCTCTTTGCTTCTCTGTGTTATTCGATTTAACATTTATAGATGCGCTCTCTGTCGATCGAGCACTCCGAGCACAATCTGATTGACTGAGCAAGGTGGAGAAGAAAATAATGCTCGTAATCGCAGTTACACGAAATTTTACTAAGTCTCTTCCTCATAGAACTATCGATTTGACTCGAGTATGATATAAAATAAATAACGTCCAGAACACATCAAAATTTACATATCTTCCAGATATCGTGATGAAATTTTAGAAATATCAAGTCGAACGTTGATCTCTCTATACGATTTTAATTTGATTTCGGCATGATTTCGATGGGATTCCTTGTCGACTTGCAAATCCAGCTACTCTACCTTTGGTCTCTCTTCTTCGCTGCTGGGAACGCGAGCTGGAAAGCGCATTCTCTCTCTCTCTCTATCTCTCTCTCTCCTCCCTCCCTCCCTCCCCCCTCCCTCCCTCCCTCCCTCCCTCCCTCCCTCCCTCCCTCCCTCCCTCCCTCCCTCCCTCCCCCTTTCTCTTACTTTCTGTCTATGTGGAGCCTGTCCGCGGGGGGTGTAGAAAGGGCATCGCAGAAGGAGGCAGAAAGCATCTCTTTGGTTGAATGAAGAACAAGAAGTAACAATGGGCAACGATAAAATATAGCTGTGGCTGGACGATAAAGCCACGATGTTATTGTTGGTTGGCGGATCGCCTTCGTGGTCGTCGTCGTGGTCGTCGTCGTCTTCGTCGTCGTCGTCGTCGAAAACGCATCGATTAAAAGTTTACTAAGTCCGCTATCAAAACGAAGGACAATCGCGACCTCGGCGACCCAGCCTGAAAGCAGAGCCTTGTACGAAATCCTCGTCCCCTTTCGCCGTTCTACCAAACCCCCTGTGCGGCTCCACGTTCCGTCGTTCTCCTTTTCTTCTTGCTCTTCGTTTCCTGCCGGCCGGCCGGCCGGCCAGCCGACCGGCATCTCGCCACCATTCGGCACTTCATCCTCGTGTACTTTCTCCCGGTGACTTCGGCTCGAGGTATCGCCCTTTTTGGGAATTGGCGGCTTCCCGAGCGAGCACACGGCGATCGATATGTCCGAGACGATCGTTTGTCGGCGTTCGTGAGGAATGGAAATAC